TGGATAGCTCCTCCCACTTGGTGACGTTGGGTTCGTGCAATAACTTGGGCTAAAATATGTTCTTCAACCATTCTTTCAAATGGTGTATCATGGTGGTCATTGTTTCTTTGAATTCCTATGATATTATTTCTATTAGTGAAAAGATGTTGATGATGGTGATGATTTGCATGATTAGATGCTGATGCGAAAGGTGTATTTCTGTTTGTAGAAGAAGTAGTTGGAGTTATAAATCTACGGGATGCTTGAATTGGAATTCTTGCTGCTATTGCTGATGTTGACTGCAATCTATGTTGATGCAATAGATTTCTGTTAGAATTATTATTACTACTACTACTGTTACTACTATTATTACTACTATTATTATTGTTATTCACGAAGGGAAGAGTCAAGTTGATATTATTATTACTGTTAGTATTATTGATCAGTCGTGATTGTAAATAATTATAATTATTATAATTATTATTACTATTCACTACTGAAGGGTATTGTACAACTGGTGGGTGAGTTTGGTGAGTGGTGACTCTTTCTCTTTCTTCTTCTCTTGTTAATCTATCAAGAAAGTCATCAATATTATTGTGGTTTGGTGTTTCATCTTCATCAGATGATGATTCATATTCGGAGGAGTCTTCTGAATCTGACCAATCCAAAGAATTGAGAGGAAGTTGTGGTGAAGAAGGTGCATATAAAGGTGAACCTCCTGGAGAGAAGGGATTCAGAGTTGTTTCATCATCAGAGACAGCAATAGGTAGATTTTCCCGTTGTCGTTGCTGTTGTTCGACAACTCTTCTTGGTGGAGTTTCTGGAAGTAAAATACTTGTATCCTCATCAGTGGAATCATCAATAACAATCACTGGTAAATTGTGTTGATTATTATTCGATGATGAAGAAGGTGTTCTTGGAATTCTTCGCATTATTATTCTACGTTGTTGAAGTAGTCTTGCAGCAGTAGCAATATGAGAAAAGGAATTAAATTGTTTGAATCTCTGTGGTGATGCTCTTTTTTTGATAACCTATTAATATTCAAATCAAGATCTATTATTGAATAGGGACTGACTATGAGGATAGGACTGATATAAGTGGGATTAATGCAAGTAGTGGTTGTGCAATTGAATTGGTAATTTAATGTTTCCTTTCGATTAACATGCAACCTAAAGATTTGTGTGATGTTATTCTTTTTGATTTCTTTTAAAAAAAGCAAATTGGGCCAAAATTATCGCAAACAAGTTTTTTTGTTGAACTATGTGAATTCTTGTTTTACAACATAAATTTTATACTTTGTTCAACACTCTTTTTGATTTTCACTTCTGTAGCATTTTCACGTTTTGCATGGCTAATGATCTGCTTCAATTCAATTTGAAGACTTTCTGTCTTGGCCATCCAAAACTTGGTCCAACTATAATTGATACTACAATTAAACTTGATCACTTGGTTGTTGTGGTTGTTCAGTTGTTGATGATGGTGATGGTGATGGGAGCTCTTCTACAACACTTGGATTCTCTTCTTTGAAATCATCCTTTGAAATGGCCACTACTTGTTTGGGAGAGTAATGTTGAGATTGTCTTCGAGGTGTTTGCCTGTGCTTGTCTGAGGAGGACATTTGTGAGAGTGGAATATCTTGTTGTTGTTTTGCACTCTTATCCAAATTAAATGAAAGCAATGGATTGTGAACTAGGAGTACAAAGATTGAAAAGAGGAGAATTCCACTTGCTTGTAAAAAGTAATCAATTACGTGAAGATATGATGCAACCTCTCCTGTAATGACAGAGACAATAGCTGCCAATATTTGCATGTAGGCACTCAATAACATTCCAATCATTAGACCCATAATTTTCGTTTCAGGTTTTTGAAGAAAGTGAAGTTGCTTATTCAATTGAGTGACGTGATGAGATCTCTTGATAATTTTAAAGAGTTTGATACCCATTCCAATAAAAACAATACTCTCCAATACTAAGATTACAATAAATGTAAGAAATATAACCACAAGGATTGGTAATACCTCCACATCAATGCCGACAAGTTTCTCAGCCAGTTCAATACCAATATTCAACAAGATACAAATTCCAATAATGAATGCACTAATCCCAATCAGGGCATTGAGAATATACTTCATAGTGAGATAAGTTTTCGAAGTAAATCCTCCAGCGTTTCTAATGGTATCCATACTAAACAATATTCGAATTCGAACAATTGAAACTTGAATAATAAAAACTTACAACATATTCAAAATCAACCCAACTACGATTACAACTGTCATTCCCTGCCCATAAACAGCCAAACTCTCTAACAGTGACAGTACAGCGAGTGTAATCAATTTCTCTGACATGTTTTCCACTTTCGTATAGTCACTAAATTGATTCATCCACAAAGCTAATGAATTAAAACTCGTTCTCATGATTAAACCGAACGATTGTTGCAGAATACACCAAAAAACAGCAAAGTAAATTACTTTCTGATTCCTTTTCATTTCTTTCCAATATCTAGCCACAATCACTCCCATAATCACCATCACAATCAGATAGGAAACTAAGAAAATACCTGAATTGACCAGTGAGGGAATATTTTCTTCCATCTGAGGAAAAAATTTGGCCAACTGTTCATGAGTACTGTTTGCCAATTGTTCTGGATCGATTTTTTGAATGACCACTACTGGAGAAATACTGTACAGTGATAATGAACGAAAGAGTCTTGTTGAATCTAAAGACATTTTTTAATGTTAGATAGATAAAAATCCAATAAGCACTGGAGATATTATTCGAAACTTTGTTTATTAACCATTGACATGTCAATGTAGGACAAACGATTTTTTATGCGTAAATCTATGATGTTTCATGAGTAGAGGAAATAATTAGGAAAGCCGGTTCTGAATTCAGAGGATAATAACAAAAAGATGTGCCATTACTTCATGCAAGGCCGAGAATGTTACTGCTTTATCGAATACCAATTACCATTTTGGTTGGGAGGTCATTTTCATATAATTATAATCATATTTTCTCCTCAACAAACAACATATCACCGCATTTAGCAGATTGGGTTGATAACATTTTCATAAGAATTAAGCTTTTGTTTGTTACCATTATAGTCTTTAAGAATGCAATTAATTCATATACAGAGCTGACAATACATGGTTGAATAAATGATTTATTGGACTGAGTTTATGTACAAAAAGGAGAGGAAACAATTTTACCACAGGAATGAAGATGCAACTGAGCCCATCAATGGAGAAGCATCAACCTTCTTTCCCTTACCAAAGCCTCCAGCACCAGCCACAACAAATAATGGCATTAAATGTTCAGCAGCTCCAAGTGCTTGACATTCCTCTCGACCTGGCATTGTCTTCCATTGTAAAAGCTTGGCTTCTCTCTCTTCCACGTCCTCAATTGCACATGCTTCAGTGAGAGCTGCATCGAATGCAACTCCCCAAGGTTTTGAACTACCTCCAGCCATGAATTTTCTAATGTATGAGAAATTGTGAGGGATCATTCCACTTCCAACAATTGCAACTCCCTCATCACGAAGTGATTCCAAAGCTCTTCCCATTTTGTAGTGAGCTGCAGCATCTTGTGATGATAATACTGACACTTGGACAATTGGAATATCTGCTTCTGGCAACATCATTTTCAATGGAATAAAAGTGCCGTGATCCCATCCTCTCTTTGAATCCATTTCTGGTGAAAACCCTGCCTTTCTTAATAGATCAGCAACTTGTTGAGCAACTTGTGGTGAACCACTTGCTTTATACTGAATCTTATAAGATTCTGATGGAAATCCATAATAATCATATAATAAATCATGTTTAGCACCTGATGAAATGAATGGTTGTGACTCTTCCCAGTGAGCAGTCACCATCACGATGGCTTTTGGTTTCGGAGTGAAGATTTGCTGTGCTTTTGTAGTGAAGAATTCAATAAGAGATGAATGTGATTTGTCACCAAGCACTGGAAGAGGACCACCACCATGGCAAACAAACAATGAAGGAGCTCTAGCAGACATTTTTCTATTAACTATGATTTAATTAGGGTTTGATTTAATCTATTGATCCGATAGAGATTGATGCTTATCGATTTTTTTTTTGTGTTTTTCTTTCATCACTCGACATGTTCATTCTATTTATTTGGTTTTTTGCAATTTGCAAACCCGAAGCATTTCGATTTTTCTATCGGTAAGGAAAGTTTGTACGTGCGCATTTATTCCATTTGTTACTAACTTGAGATTTTCTCTCAGATAAATCTTGATGAGAATAACATTGAGCTAATGTTGTTGAATTGAAGAGTTTCATTGTAAAGTACATTTATTTTTTCATCACAATCCTGTAGGAATTGAATGAACTTAGTGAGCCAGTTTGCTCATATTTTTTGGCTTCACGTATGATTTGTCTAGCTTGATTTTCCCAAGTGACTATTCTCTTTTTACATTCTTTGGGAAGTTCAATTTCCTGATTGTCGAAA